AGGCCTCTCCAGGGAGCCCCCGCCGGGGTCCTCCCCAGGATCCAGCATCTCTCCTGGGGGCAGAGAAGCAACTCTAGCCCCCGGTCTCTGGAAGCTCACGAGCTAAGGAACCAGCAACCTCACACCTCGCTGTCAGGGAGCAGAATGGCAGTTTCCCACCATCCCTGTGCTGAGTTCCCGGGTCTGTACACCCGCTGTGCCCATTATGAGGGGCTCCCACCATCCCTTCTTACTGGCAAACAAATATACATATGTGGATATTGCCTATGCATATTATTTATTGTTATTTGCAGCCAGTAGATGGCGCACTGAGCTCCTTTTCACATGTCTACCAGGTTGATCTTAGCTGCTTTACTGAAGGCGCATGCTGCTACCTACAGACCTCAGTAGCCAGTGGCGTAACAATAGCCATAGCGACCCAGGCGGCCGCTATGGGGCCCGGGTCCACGGGGGCCCGGCCAGGACACCCCCCTGATGCCGTGCGGGCCGCCTGGGTCGCTATGGGTTCGAACGCACCACTGTTCAGATCACCGTGATCTGTGCAGCGCTGCGTTCTTCTCCATTGCCGTTGCTGAGTCAATGAGAGTCAGCAGCGGCGGTGGAGGAGGCTAGACGTGGCGGGGAGGAGGAGGCGGGGCCTGGGGGGTCAGCATCAGAGAAGGAGGCGGGCCCGGCGACGGAGGACAGAGCGGGCCCGGCGACGGAGGACGGAGCGGGCCCGGCGACGGAGGACGGAGCGGGCCCGGCGACGGAGGACGGAGCGGGCCCGGCGACGGAGGACGGAGCGGGCCCGGCGACGGAGGAGGGAAGACGGAGGAAGAAGAGGCGGACAGGTAAGGAGTGTGACCAGCCCACCTGAGGGTGACCCTGCAGAGCCCACCATAGAGAGTCTATGGTGGGCTCTGCAGGGTCACCCTCAGGTGAGCTATGTGGGCTCTTCAAGGGGTGTAACTAGAAATCACAGGGCCCCATACAAAATTTTGCTATGGGGTCCTGTGATTTCTAGTTACGCCCCTGTCAGTAGCTGTATTTACAAACAGTACTTCCGTGATACCAGCAAAGCACATGTACCTCATTGTGCCTGGTATTAATTCTGTGCTCCTGAGGAGACCTCTGACTTGTCCAACATCGAGCTAAACCCCACCCTTTCCTTGTGCTAATCCTCCGCCTTTCATCAATCACCAATCAGAGCAGCAAGGAAGGATCCTCAGAAGGTCCTCAGGGGATGGACCTTCACTACAAGTGGGATGTCCTCTACTCCTTCACATACTCTCGGGTCCAGTGGCTCTGCACTAGAAGATTATTAAAGGTGCTCTCATGCACCACATAATTACATCACTTCCACAGGTTTGTCTGCTCAAATATGACAGGTTCCCTTTAAGACAAAGCGCGTTAGTCTATAAAGACCCCCCGCCATCCCTGGTAGGCCGATCCTAGAACTCATTAGAATACAGAATCTCCAGCAACCCTCACAGCGGCACCGCTGACTTTTATTCATTCCTCAATTGTAACACGAGAGGTCACCGGGGACACCAGCGAAAAGAACATTTTGAGATGCATCCCCGGCATTATTTATCCGTCATGTTTTACATTATCCTTAAATATGTTTACAGTCCGTCCCGCCCCCCCTCCCCATCCTCCCCCAGTGAATACGCCGACAAATTGGATTGTTCAAGATTCGACGTGTTGACAACTTGTCGTTAGAGCGGCCGCGTTTCCGTATCCCGGGATTATTTCCCCAGCGTTAGATTCCGAGGAAGAAAAGGGAAATAAATGAAGAAATTGGAAATTAAAACCGAACGTATCATCTGTTCATCGGGTATGTAGATGGTTCCGTTTGATCCGAAGCGCTTCTGTAAACTTTTAAAAGAAATTTTGGATGGAGTAGGGAATAATTACAAAGTTACATAGTTAGTCAGGTTGCACAAAGACACCAAAAGTCCATCGAGTTCAACCGATAGAGAATTATAAAGTCTATCAGGTTTTTATCCCATCTCTGTCCCAGTTGAGAGATATCCCTTCACTTCCTGTCCTGTAGACTCAACACATCCCTCCCAAGTGGGGTAGGAACCCCCGTTGTCACCAGAACCGGTGTCCTCATTGGAAGATCATCTCTCCTGTTCTGATGGGAACTCAGATGACATTGGTCAGCAGGACAGATGGTGGGGACACTTCGGCAATAACAACCTGACAATGACACATAAAGTAACCATAAATAATTATATAAATGAGCGTTCTTTTTATTTTATCTGTACATAGGGGAAGCCGCTACTGTATATTTACTTGTTACATATTCACTCTCTGCTTCCTACTTTTCAGCTAAGGGTAGAAATTTCCCTTACTGTACTGGGGGACTGAGTTCTGTATTGGGTTTTTTTTTGGATGGAGAGGTAAGTAT